ATGCCCAGCTCTGACAGCACTGATACCTCCCTTGGTTCCAGAATTGTACAAACTTGTGATTTGAGGACTCTTACCCTCACCATATTAGGGGCATGAAAAGACACCATACTTGGGTGAAATCCCAGATGTATCTAAGCATCATGTCATCTCTACAGATGGTACTGTAGAGGAGTTGGAATACACTATGGAAACTTCAGAGAGGGTAAGTGCAGTAACACGTACCACTAGTGTTTATTGCGGTGCTTCATACTAGCTTTTGTACACCTTCAAAGCATTTCTCTGTGCTGGTGATAACACATTTTTCTTTTAATGATTTGTGCTTCTCATTGAGGCATGAACATCGTGGGTTCTGTCCAAATGGTATTGAGGACAGGTTTCTTCAAACAGTGCCAAGATGAAGTGGCACAGCCTGCTCGGTGCATGGGAACCAGAGAGTAAGTAATTTTGTTCCAACTCATGTGGCTTTTGTATTTTATGCACAATTTGGAAGCCAGATTGTTGTGTGGACTGTATTTTTCCTCACTACATGGCTTTCATTTGTTCACATTAATTTCCTTTGGAAAGGAACATGATAACCAGTTCATCTTAGTCCTGACTGACCTGTTTTGAACAAGGACGGAGGTAGTGAGGAGAGATGGGATGAGTCCAGACCAGGTTGGTTCATGTAAGAGAAATGGTGGAAGGAACTGGAAATGGTTATGCAGGTGAAGGGATGAATCTTGTCTATAAAGGACTGAAGAGATTTCATTGAATCTTTCAGAAATTCTGTAAACATTGACCTTTCCCAGTTTGACCACTCTTAGCACTAATTAGTACCTTATATTTTTGATGTTGAGCTCACTCAATTAAGCATTTAAACAGATATCATGCCTTATTGTTATTTGATTGTTTTATATACCTAGTTTCTGTTTCTTCAATAATTATAAGCACCTTTAAAGTCAGGAAATTATCATTCCTTTCTTTAATCAAAACTTATGCTTTTTAATTACATGTGAAGGTAAATTCCTTTTTTTTTTTTTAATGAGCTATGGCCATAATATTGTAAACATGTGGTGGAATTTAGTCTCTGCTTACCATGCAAAATTCAGAGGCAAAAATATTAGAACTTTTAAAACAGATTTTTCTTTATTGGGCTCAGGAATATAGGTTGGAAATTCAAACCCAGAACAGACCATAAGAAATTGCTGATAAGCTTTTAATGAGCATAAAACTCATAAAATTTCAAACACTGTTGGTCCTTTGGGGTCACTTATCCAATGCCCTCATTTTATTAATGGGGAAATCAAGGTGCAGAGACACAAGCGACTTGCCCCAAGTCTCAGTGAGAGTGAATGGAAGGAGACCTGAACTTGGATTTTCCTTTCCCAGAATCGTGCCTTATATTGCTATCACTGTTGTGGTTTTCACAGTGTACCGGGAGCTCGTCAACAGGCTTGGTATTACATTTTGATGAAGTTATAAATGTCTGTCTGTAATAAATGGGGCTATATATTGTCATTACAATAGGCATTTGGTTGCCTTTCAGCATCGAGTGTTACTGCAAGGCTGTGACCAAGATCTTACATCCATTTAACAAATAATTCATTTTCATTTCTACTACATGCCAAGCACTAGGCCAGTACAGAGAGCCCAGTGTTCTAGATGACATTAAGGTGTGCTTCTTGGCTTCGACTCCTGCTGATTCTCCCCAGTGGTACATGTAGCCTGAAGTCTAGTCAAACCAGTATCCCACATGGCAGATAGCCCTGCCACAATGATGGCCATATCCTTGGCCATAGGCAATAAAGAAAAATAAACATGATAATTTAATGGCCAAAACAGACTCTGCTGTATAAGTTTATGTGTAATAGTTACGCAGATTTTTTTCAAGCATCTCCAAACTTACTTTTTGGTATATATAATTTTATATAGTTATGTACTATATATAATTATAAAGACAAATATAATCATAATAGTTATATATTGAGTCACTGCATGTATTCTTCAATAGATTCTGAAATGAAAACAATTATTTTATTGGAGAGAAGTGTCCCTCTCCTACACATAATTTGTCCCCTAGGAAAGATGGAAGGAATTTCTGTGCTTAGAATGCTACCACCTGGCAGTAAACTTGACTATCAATTCACGTGGCTTTTACCAGCTTTGAAGCCAGGCAATTCTTGTCAAATTTTTAGTTTGAAGAAATGTGCGTTATTTCACATTTTGAACCTTGGGTATTTATTATGCCATTCTTTCAAATTTGCATAACTCAAAGTTGCATAAAATTAGACTGCAATGTTTTCTCAGGAGGGTGGAAAACAAAAAAAGTTGGAACCTTTGAGCAGGTGGTATAAACATTCAGGAAAAGTAGAAGATGTAATCCTTGTTCTTAAATAGCTTCAACTGCATTAGGAAAATCAAACAGATGTATATAAAGCACATGAGTACAATCCAAAGCAGTATTTCTCAACCTTTTTGCTATTATGCTCCCCAAGAGCTTTCCTAGAATTTTTTTTTCTAATTGCCCCCTACTCCATGGAAACATATTACGGATCTACTGTCTGTTTATGTTCTGTGTGTATATGTGTGCTTCATACACAATTTTAGTAAGACTTTTAATTCCCCAGTAACCAGTTTTCATCCTGTTAGGGGTATAATTTCCCTCATTTAGAATGCATGATTTAAATAATACATACCTAAGTATATGATAATAAAATAAAACACAGGTTAACTACATATAAGACCCTGAAAGATGAGAGTAATAGACACAGGACATGGACAAAAATGTATAAATCAGTGGCTACAGATGAAATATGAAAAATCAAAATTAACCAATATTTGATTAAATTTTGACATGTATGCACTATATTTAAAATGGATAACCAACAAGGTCCTACTTTATAACACAGAGAACTGCTCAATGTTATGTGGAAGCCTTGATGAGAGGGCGAGAATACATGTATACTTTAGACTGAGGCCCTTTGCTGTCCACCTGAAATTATCACAACATTGTAAATCAGCTATACTCCAATATAAAATGAAAAGTTTAAAAAGATGTTTGTGAAACATAATATTGTACCAGTTTCATGTTTTGTTCCATGCTAAGCTCTGAAAAATTATATTACATTTGAAAACAGTTGTGAGTTAGATTTTCTCACTTCTTAATAATCCCTGAGAAAATGAGTTACTTATAATCAAAGTTCAAAAACTGAATTATTTAAAACATTGCAAAATCTTTGTAGCAACACACACACACACACACACACACACACATTTAAAGTGGGACATGAGTACATTTAATATATGTCACATAATGTTGGGTGGCAGTTCCAAAATAGGCTTGGGAAGACTTCCTCATGAGTGAAAGCTGAGTCCTACCTTGACTGCGCCGTGGGTACAACATGCCAGAATTGGTATATGGAAGACAGAGGGAAGCAGGAGGAGGTGGCAGCTCCCCTTGGGCATAAGTGGTTGGTGTCTTTATATATGTGTTAAAGAAAAATACTTAACAGAATTAATTATCTTTGCTTAAGGAGCCTTTTTTACAAAGCCCCAAAGGCCATATATTCATTGTACAAACTGAGTTCTTAGCAAGTGTGAAACATACAGAGATGCATACACAGACCCACCCTGAAAACAAAGAAGATAAGTGCCACTTTTTTACTGTTTCCTAACAGAATCCTGTTACTTCCTGTGAGCCCTGTTTAAGTTTGTTTTTAATCCGGGGCGGTGGGTGGGGGGTGTTGGGGAGGAAGTGAAAAATCTTATGATTGATAACAAAAGATAAAACAGAAGTTGGATGTGATATAAATTGTTTCAGAAATAACTTGGGTTTATTCTCCTAATATTTTAGTTGATTAGTATTTTAAAGTTTCTAAAAATCTTAAATTATGATTTTTAGTGCAGTTTGACAAGAGGTCACTGATCTTGAGTTTTCACCACAGGTTGCCGTACTTTCCTGGTTATCCTGGGCGGTGATAATCTTTTTGATAGACAGGGTTTAGGAGTTGTCCCACATTAAACTTGGCTTTATTATGAACATCAGCTCTGTATTGATCTTCATTTTTCCAACCTCATTTCTTGTTTCTTTCAAGTTACCTCTGGGAGATCTGTAATATTAGGGCTACAGAGGATGCCTTGTTGAGAAAAGTTTGAAAAGTTGGTTGTGGTTATGTTTCAAGTTTACATTCACAGAATTTCAGGGAAAGGAAGTTGAACTGGATTGGAATGCTGGTAACAGTAACAGCTTGCAATTATGGGACATTCAGACTTTTTCAGTGTTGTCACTTTACAAGCTTCTTACAGATGTCCACAGGAGTAATATGTGCATTCTAGAATCTTTGAAAGATAATCAGGGAAGTGAAATGACTTGTCTATAATTATCTAGCCAGCCTATTGCTTGGCTTCCTTCTATTTGATATTGTTTAAACTGTGACCCTCTTGTTCTTCTATAACTTTTGCCCATTTTTTTGGGGGGGGAGGGTAATGTTTTGTTATTTTTTTAATTTATTTTTTACTTTTCTCCTTGTTCTTTTAAAAAGTACATCTGTATTGAGCAGTTCCAAGTCTCATATAATGAAGGTAAAATCAGTCGTTACACGTAAAACACTCCTTGCCTTTGAATTTACATTTTGGCCATAATTTCTTTTCTAACCCCTGGACATATGCCCCTCCTGTTTGCAGTGATCTTTAGTAAAACATCTCACCTCTGAACTCTGCTCCTGGCCAAATGGAGAATTTGTTACCCTTTACTACTTGAGACTGGAGAATCCCATGGACGGAGGAGCCTGGTGGGCTACAGTCCACGGGGTCGCAAAGAGTCGGACACGACTAAGCCACTTCACTTCACTTCACTTCACTACTTGAGAGGGATTACCTTGACTTCCTCTGGGTGAATAGTGTCATTTGAGCAGGTGTCAAGTGAGATTGCTAGTGGTTATAGACCCACCTTGCAGGACTGGTGAAGAGTGAATGAAAGTTGGTTGCAAAAAAGTCAAGCTCCTGAGGGCAAATCGGAAAGCTTAACCATCGAAACTGTAGAGGGTACGGCCCTGGCGCTTGTGAGCGTAGACCACGTCCATGGCGGTGACAGCCTTCTGCTTGGCGTGCTCGGTGTAGGTGACCGCGTCCCGGACCATGTTCTCCAGAAACACTTTCAGGACCCCGCGGGTCTCCTCATACAGGAGCCCAGAGATGTGCTTCACCCCGCCACGACGATCCAGGCGGCGAAGAGCAGGCTTATGATGCCCTGGATGTTGCCGCACAGAACCTTGCAGTGGTGCTTAGCGCCGCCTTTCCCCAGGCCTTTGACGCCTTTGCCGCATCCAACATCGCTTCCCGAGAAGCACATCAACAGCGACTAAAAAGTTGGCTGTATCGTCTTGTCCATAGAAAATAGATGATGTAAGGCTTACTCTTCTCACTAGACATTTTGCTACTTAAAGTTATGGACCAAAGTTGAGGTCTGAGAATTAAGGAATGCGTTTTTAATGGAAACATCACCAGCATCCTGGCCAAATGGAAATTGAACGTTTCTAAATAGCAAACAAAAGATCACTTTGCTCCTAGAAATGCTGATATGCCAGGCTTAAAGATAGCTCCTCAGCAGAGAACTCGCTCTTCTCTCATGTGGAGAATCTGTTCTTGTGGAAAGATGGCCAAGGGTGTGCGCCTCTACAAAGGTTGGCAGTAAGATGCGTTTATTCTCAATGAAGGGCTTACTCTTTTGTAAAGGGCCAGAGCTCCTGTAATGTCACCACTAATAAGACTTTTTCAAAGAGACCTTGGGCTTCTCTCAATGTGTCTGGTTGCAGAGGAGAATTCCCTTAAAGTAGGAATTAATGGTTTTATTTACTTAATTAGGAAGAGCATATGTTTGAGTTATATTTTTTGGCTACATTTCTCTTGATCTCTAAGGCATAACTGAATTCTAATGCCTTGAGGCATTTGCCAGATGGCCACATCTTAGGAATGGTCCAAATTTTTATTCAGGTGATTCTTTTTCATATTTCAACCCCCTCAAAAGAATGAAAAATGTATTTGCTCAGGATATAAACACTTTGATATAAATGTGCCTCTCGTTTAAGCAAGAGAAAAAGAAAATAGTAATACTGGTCTCCTGGAAATTAACCAGTAAATATAGATAGCCAGAACAAAGCTTATAAATGGGTTAAGTGATATGGTATAGTTTATACGGGAAATTGAGGCCATATACTTCTGGAACACCAAACTTGCCTTATCTACCTCATCTCTACCTAATAGGAACAAGGTAGTGGAAGAGTAAGGATAATTAATCCTTGGTTAGATCCCCTTATTACTTGCCAATAGCCATTGGATTTCCATTTCTGATCTGGTTTCTGAGACTTCTTTCTTTTGTGATCCCTTGAGTCAACAGTTGTCTAAATTTCCATGTTTTATTTTCTCCTTTTTCTTCCATAGATCAGCTTGGTAAATAAGTATGTCTGGTCTCTCATTATCTTTGCTGTTTGAAACACATACTTTAAGAGATGAAGAAGAATAAAGCTGAAATTGGTGCCTGTAAAAAGCTTCTAGCTTGCTGCTATGCATTGCTTCCATGGAGTAGTTTCCTGATCCCTATTTTGAAGTGTATTTTTAGATAACACTAACAAAACACTAGCCAGTTTGAATTCATTTTCCCGTTTTCAGAAAACAGTGAATTGGCAGATATTCAGAGAACTGGCAGATGTTCTGAGAACCAGGGCTTCCCTCGTAGCTCAGCTGGTAAAGAATCCTCCTGCAATTCAGGAGATCCTGCTTTGATTCCTGGGTCAGGTAGTTCCCCTGGAGAAGGGAATGGCTACCCATTTCTGTATTCTTGCCTGGGAAATCCCATGCATAGAGGAGCCTGGCAGGCTACAGTTCATGGGATCCCCAAAGAGTCAGACATGGCTGAGTGACTAACACTTTCAGAGAACTAAAAAGAACATAGGACATTCCAGAGTAGAATTTTGGAGCTGGAAGTAGAACTAAATACCGTCTAATCTAATCCTTTCTTACTGCAGGCAAAGACATGTCAGTTCAAAGAAGTTAAGTTTGTTACTAGTACATGGTTGAGCCAGGACATGAGCACTTACTTTTCCACTTTTGGACCAGTGCTTTTCCACTACCAAAAAGAATTATAGTGCAACAAGCAGGACCAAAGGTATAAAACTTCCATTCCAGAGAGGGATTTGCCTCAAATGAAGTTTACTTAGCAACTCTAGTTCTGTCTCCTGCCTACTTTTTCCTCCTTAATTATTGTTGTTAATTTGTATTTATTGATTCATCTGCTAGGTGAACTATTTCTTTGCACAAGCTGGTATTATAAACCCTCTTAGAGATTACACATTAAAAAGGACAAAATGACAAAATGTGGCTGTAATTTAAAACCTTGTTTTCCCGAGCTTTACTAACATTCCTCTTATCTTCTAAAATAGATTTTTCTTTGTAGCAGTCAGTTCAGCACCAATCACAAGATTGCTGGAAGGATTAGAAACTGGTTTCTTTTCCTTTCCTGTTCTTATTTCCTTATTACCCCTTTACCTTTTCAAACTCTGCTTCATTACTTCTTTTGGAGGATGGATTGACTAATTTATTGATTTATTCAACAAATATTATATTCGGTGACTACTATATGCCAGTCTTAGGCTGGACTCTGGGAAACATAAAGACAAAAATAGTACTGATTCCGGAGTTCCTGTGGACTTCTCATCTAGCATAGGGAAGAGGGAACCTGTGGCAGAGGGACCAACTGGGACTAAGTGGCAAAAGCAGTTTCTTGTCTTTTTTGCAGCGTGACATAGAAAATGATAATATTTGTATGACAAATGGCAGGACCCTGGTGGTAATTTGGAAGCCTGAGAGGTTATTCTTGGATAGATGGAAATGAGTGATATTATAATAGAGCCTGGCTGTGCCCAGCCCTTAGCACGCAGCTGTTAGTATGTGCCATTACCCCACACCCTGTTACCAGGCAGTAGTTACCCCGGGACTGTTAGTGGTCCTGTGTAGCCATTGGTCGGTAATGCAGTGGGCCCCTCCCCCAAGCGACCAACTGTCAATAAATGACCGTTAGTGGTCCTGCTCAGTCATTGGTTGGCACTGCAGTGGACCCCTCCCCCAAGAGACCAACTGTCAATGAGTGACCGTCAGTGGTCCTGCTCAGCAGTGGGCCCCTCTGTCAGTGACCAGTTGTCAATAGGTGATCCTTAGTGGGCCCATTGGGCTTCACTGGTGGCTCAGAGAGTAACGAATCCACCTGCAATGCAGAAGGTGTCGGTTTGATCCCTGCATTGGGAAGATCCTCTGGAAAGGGAATGGCTACCCACTCCAGTATTCTTGACCAGAGAACCCCATGGAGAGAGGAGCCTGGCAGGCTCTAGTCCATGAGGTCACAGAAAGTTGGACATGTCTGAGCAACTAAGCACAAGTGGGCTCATTTCAGCCAACAATCAGGGGAGAGGTGGTCTTCAGGCTGAGAGTAAAGAGGCAGATCCTGACCTTCTCTCCTCAGGGGCCTTTTATCATCAGGTGAGCTGGGAGCCCAGGGAACACGATGGGGGCTGTGTCCTGCAGGGCTCTGGAGCCCATGCCAAGTCCACGCACTGGCCAGGCCCAGACCTCGAGGTGGCAGTGAACCTCCCCTCATCCCTGTCCCTGCAACCTAATGACAGCAGCTGTCTACTTGGGTCATAGTCTGACAGACCTGCCCCCATGGTACCAGTGGTTTGAGGAGCTTGAGGGCCAGTTGGGTCATAGGCACCTGGCTCCCTCAGTGATGATAGGTGGGCAGGGTTTGGGGACCTGGCACTGAGGGTGCTGCTAGCTGGGCTCTGCCTCCTCTGAGCCAGGACCAGGACCTCAGAGGGTGAAAATTGTGCCTTGTGACATTGCCCTTTTTTGTCAGAACAGAGAATAACATTTGTTTGGTGAAGATTTCTAGGAACATGATTAGCTGACTGTGACCTGACCTCAAGAACAAAGGATCTGACACCAAAAAGTTCACAACAATTAATCACGCATCTCTCTCACCTTTCCTAGAAAAGGGCTTTGATGCAAGCTTTTGGGGAATTTGGGGGTTTTAAGGCATGAGCCACCTGTTTCCTTGCATGGCCTTCAATAAACCTATCTCTGCTCCAAATTCTGATGTTTTGATATTGTTTGGCCTCACTGTGTGGTGGGCACATGGACATGAGTTTCTGTAACAGTATGTCCTGCCAACCTCAGACCCCAAATAGCCAGCCCAGGGGTGAGATGATCAACTTCTAGCCCTGGCTTGCTGGTTGGGATGCCCTGCAGTAGTTTTGGAAAGGAAATGTTTTCCTTAAATGAGGAAGTTATAGTAAAAATGGAGGGGAAAAAAAAGATTAACCTTAAAGATATTGGGGAAATGGGATTGACATGACTTAGTGAGTAGTTGAGATATGGGGAAGAAGTCAAGGATGATTCTTGAGTATGTGACCTGATCACCTGAGTGCATGGTGGTGCCATATACTGAGATGGTAAATCTTGCAGCAGGTGGAAAAAGAGGAGGCAGAAGCTGTGAATACACTTGAATTAGGCCCTTGGATGAAGTGCAATTTCCAACAGAATTGACTGGGACCTGGAGAAGAAAATGGCAACCCACTCCAATATGCTTGTCTGGAGAATCCCATGGACGGAGGAGCCTGGTAGGCTACAGTCCACAGGGTCGTGAAGAATCCAACACGACTGAGCGACTTCACTTTCACTTTGGGAAGGGCCGGGCTGGTGTAAACTCTGCCCAAGGACAAAAATGGTATGGACCTAACAGAAGCAGAAGATATTAAGAAGAGGTGGCAAGAACACACAGAAGAACTGTACAAAGAAGATCTTCATGACCCAGATAATCACAATGGTGTGATCACTCACCTAGAGCCAGACATCCTGGAATGTGAAGTCAGGTGGGCCTTAGAAAGCATCACTACGAACAAAGCTAATGGATGTGATGGAATTCCAGTTGAGCTATTTTAAATCCTGAAAGATGATGCTGTGAACGTGCTGCACTCAATATGCCAGCAAATTTGGAAAACTCAGCAGCGACCACAGGACTGGAAAAGGTCAGTTTTCATTCCAGCCCCTAAGAAAGGCAATGCCAAAGAATGCTCAAACTACTGCACAATTGCACTCATCTCATGCGCTAGTAAAGTAATGCTCAAAATTCTCCAAGCCAGGCTTCAGCAATGCATGAAGCGTGAACTTCCAGATGTTCAAGCTGGTTTTAGAAAAGGC